TGTGGTGCTGAGAAGAATGTATATTCTGTGGATTTGGGGTGGAGAGTTTTGTAGATGCCTATTAGGTTTGCTTGGTCCAGACTGAGTTCAGGTCCTGAATATCCTTGTTAATTTTCTGTCTCTTTCATCTGTTAAATATTGACAGTGGGGTGTTAACTCTCCCATTATTGTTGTGTGGGAGTCTAAGTCTCTTTGTAGGTTTCTATGAGCTTGCTTTATAAAACTGGGTGCTCCTGTATTGGATGCATATATATTTAGGATAGTTAGCTCTTCTTGTTGCATTGATCCCTTTACCATTGTGTAAAACCCTTGTCTTTTTTGATCTTTGTTGGTTTAAAATCTGTTTTATCACAGGCTAGGATTGCAACCCCTGCTTTTTTTTGCTTCAATTTGCTTGGCAGATATTCCTCTGTCTTTTTATTTTGAGTCTGTGTGTGCCTTTGCATGTGAGATGGGTCTCCTGAATACAGCACACCAATGGGTCTTGACTCTTTATCCAATTTGACAGTCTGTGTCTTTTAGTTTGGGCATTTAGCCCATTTACATTTAAGGTTAATATTATGTATGAATTTGATCCTGTCATTATGATGCTACCTGGTTATTTTGCCCATTAGTTGATGCAGTTTTTTCATAGTGTTGACAGTCTTTACAAGTTGGTATGTTTTTTTCAGTGGCTGGTATTGGTTTTTCCTTTTCATATTTAGTGCTTCCTTCAGGAGGTCTTGTAAGCCAGGCCTGGTGGTGACAAAATCTCTCGGAATTTCCTTGTTTGTATTTCTCCTTCACTTATGAAGCTTAGTTTGCCTGAATATGAAATTCTGGGTTGAAAATTGTTTTCTTTAAGAATGTTGAATATTGGCCCCCACTCTCTTCTGGCTTGTAGGGTTTCTATAGAGAGACCTGCTGTTAGTCTCATGGGCTTACCTTTGTGGGTAACCAGACCTTTTTCTCTGGCTGCCCTTAACATTTTTTCCTTCATTTCAACATTGGTGAATCTGATGATTATGTGTCTTGGGGTTCTTCTCAAGGAGTGTCTTTGTGGTGTTCTCTGTATTTCCTGAATTTGAATGTTGGCCTGTCTTGCTAGGTTGGGGAAGTTCTCCTGGATAATATCCTGAAGAGTGTTTTCCAACTTGGTTCTATTCTCCCCATCATTTTCAGGTATACCCATCAAACTTAGGTTTGGTCTTTTCACATAGTCCCATATTTCTTGGAGGCTTTGTTAATTCCTTTTCATTCTTTTTTCTCTACTCTTGTCTTCATGCTTTATTTGATTAAGTTGATCTTTAGTCTCTGATATCCTTTCTTCTGCTTTTTCAATTTGGCTAGTGATACTTGTGTATGCTTCACAAAGTTCTCGTGCTGTGTTTTTCAGCTCAATCAGGTTATATTTGTTTTTCTCTAAACTAGTTCTTCTTGTCAGCAATTCCTCTAACCTTTTTTCAAGGTTTTTAGCTTCCTTGCATTGGGTTAGAATGTGTTCCTTTAGCTCAGAGGAGTTTGTTATTACCTACCTTCTGAAGCCTGCTTCTGTCAGCTCATCAGACTCATTCTCTGTTCAGTTTTGTTCCCTTGCTGGTGAGGAATTGTGATCATTTGCAGAACAGGTTTTGTTTATGGATTTTTGAGCCTTTTTGTACTGTTTTTTCCTCATCTTCATGGATTTATCTACCTTTGGTCTCTGATATTGGTGACTTTTGGATGGGGTTTCCGTGTGGATGTCCTTTTTGTTGATGTTGATGCTATTCCTTTCTGTTAGTTTTCCTTCCAACTGTCAGGCTCCTCTGCTGTAGGTCTGCTGGGGTTATCTGGAGGTCCACTCCAGAGCCTGTTTGCTTGGGTATCACCAGTGGAGGCTACAGAACAGCAAAGATTGCTGCCTGTTCCTAGCTCTGGAAGCTTGATCCCAGGGGGCATCTGCCAGATTCCAGCCAGAGCTCTCCTGTATGTAGTGTCTGTTGACCCCTGCTGGGAGGTCTCTCTCATTCAGGAGGCACATGGGTCAGTGATCCACTTTAGCAGTCAGTCTGTGCCTTAGCAGAGCTCAAGTGCTGTGCTGGGAGATCCACTGCCCTCTTCAGAGTGGCAGGCAGGTACATTTAAGTCTGCTGAAGCTGTGCCCACAGCTGCCCCTTTTGCCAGGTGCTTTGTCCTAGGGAGATGGGAGCTTTTTACTATAAGTCCCTGACTGGGCCTGCTGCAATTCTTTCAGAGATGCCCTGCCCAGAGAGAAGGAATCTAGAGAGGCAGTCTGGCTACAGCTGCTTTGCTGAGCTGTGGTGGGCTCCGCCCAGTTTGAAATTCCCAGCAGCTTTATTTACATCATGAGGGGAAAGCTGGCACTCAAGCCTCAGTAATAGTGGACACCCCTCCCCTACCACCAAGCTCCACCATCCCTGGTCAGCTTCAGACTGCTGTGCTGGCAGTGAGAATTTCAAGCCAGTGGATCTTAGCTTGATGGGCTCCATGGGGGTGGGTTCTGCTGAGCTAGACCACTTGGCTCCCTGGCTTCAGCCCCCTTTCCAGTGGAGTAAATGGTTCTGTCTTGCTGGTGTTCTAGACACCACTGGGGTATGAAAAAAATGCTGCAACTAGCTTAGTGTCTGCCCAAACAGCCACCCAGTTTTGTGCTTGAAACCAGGGCCCTGGTGGTGAAGGCACTCAAGGGAATCTCCCTCTTTGTCTGCGGGTTGCGAAGACTGTGGGAAAAGTGTAGTATCTGGGCCAGAGTGCACCATTCCTCATGGCAGGGTCCCCCAAAGCTTCCCTTGCCTAGGGGAGGGAGTTTCCTGACCCCTTGCACTTCCCGGGTGAGGTGATGCGCCACCCTGCTGCGGCTCACCCTCCATGGGCTGCATCCACTGTCTAACCAGTCAGTGAGATGAACCAGCTACCTCAGTTGGAAATTCAAAAATTACCCACCTTCTGCATTGATCTCGCTGGGAGCTGCAGACCGGAGCTGTTCTTATTCGGCCATCTTGCCAGCCACCCCCAGAAAATGATCTTTTGTGCCAGGAATTGAGAATAAATACCAAGAACAGCTAAGAAATGTTTTAAATAATTTCCTTTCAGAGTGGGAACATCATTTTAGCATTTAGTTCCTGAGAGAGAAAATTCTTCAATAAATATAGAATTCTTTGGGAAATTAGGAGTTTAATAAGAGGCTTCTATATTGACTTTCATACATTTACTTCTGCAGTGTTTGCTGCCTTTAACTGTAAAGTTAAAATTAAACAATTTAACTTAGACTGAAAAGAATCCCAATGGTGTATTATCAATAATGCTTTTCTTAGAGGCCTCATAATGCCAACGAAATGTTTTTCAATCCATTGAAATAGTGGTCCCATAATTTCATTTAAATATCAGGGATAAGATTGAAGAGCCTTTGGAAAACCATCGTGTCTTTCTGCTGTCTTGGGTTAAGAGTGCACCTAGACTGCCCTTGACAGCTAGAAAATTTCAAGAATTTACAAAAAGATTGTATAACCTGATTTGCAACAACATCTCCCTTGTCAGTGAGCACTTCCTTGTATAACAAACCATCCTATTTGGCTACTTCAGACGGAATGGGGGCAGTTTTATTCCAAGACAGGGCCACAAACATGCAAATAGAGGGAAGAGTTGCATCAAGAAGACTGTGGAACTAATGGTTCCTGGGCCAGAGGACAGCCGAGGCAGTGGCTCTGCAAACCTTAAGTTCTCCATTTGCTGTGCTCCTGTTTCTCCAGAGCACTCTTATCCTTGACACCTAAAGCTTGTTGAGCTAAAATAAAACAATGAATATATTTCTTCCCTTTTACCTTCAGAAAAATCTGTGAATGAGTAACAATTACGTACTCATGTGAATTTCACAGTGAAAAGACAAGTTATGTTTTTGGTTGAGATATAATTAACATAGAATCAAATGTATACATCTTAAGTGTGTAGGTCAAGTTTTGTAAAATGTGTGCAATTGAGTAACCAACACAAAAATCAAGACGTAGAATATTTTTATCACCTCAGAAAGTTCCTTTGTTCCCCTTTCTGGTCAAATTCCCTACGCAGAGGCAATTAGTGTTCTGATTTCTGTCACTGTAGATTAGTTTTATCTGTTCTTAAATATAAATTTTAAATCTTTGAGAAAAGTCAGTTTTTGAAAATATTAAAGAAGTATAGTTTTTAAATTTTTTAAACTTTTTTTTTTTTGAGACAGAGTCTCGCTCTGTCACCCAGGCTGGAGTGCAGTGGTGCCATCTCGGCTCACTGCAACCTCTGCCTCCCAGGTTCAATCAATCCTCCTGCCTCAGCCTCCTGAGTAGCTGGGATTACTGGTGCCCACCACCACACCTGGCTAGATTTTTTTTGTGTGTGTATTTTTAATAGAGACAGCCAGGCTGGTCTTGAACAACTGGCCTCAAGTGGTCCACCCGCCTTGCCCTCCCAAAGTGCTGAGATTACAGGTGTAAGCCACTGTGCCTGGCCAGAAGTATAGTTTAGTGTATTAAACTAATATTTAATAAGAAAAACTTCCTCATGCTTGTCTCTGTTCTTAAGATTAAAACTGATTATAGATGCATATGTATGTCATAGTTGAAATTTAAAAATATATCACAGAATAGTCTATAGAAAATATATACCCCCCCTTTTTGAGACAGGGTCATGTTCTGTCATCCAGGCTGGAGTGCAGTGGTGTGAACATGGCTCACTGCAGCCTTGACCTCCTGGGCTGAAGCAGTCCTCCCATCTTAGCCCTCCTGAGTAGCTGGGACTATAGGTGTGTGGCACCACACCTGGCTAATTTTTTTTTAAGAGTTGTGTTTTTGCCATGTTGCCCAGGCAGTCTTGAACTCCTGAACTCAAGCAGTCCTCCCCGCTTGGCCTCCCAAAATGCTGGGATTACAGGCATGAGCCACTGTGCCTGGCCAAAAACATATCTTTGTATATTTGTCACTTGATTGTGTGTATCCTAGAAGTGATTATGCAAAACCTGCAACTATTATTGATATTTTGTCCATTTGCAGATTCTAGATCATGTAGAGCCCCTACGTCCCTACGAATCCTTGGACACCCGGAAAAAGTTCCTCCAGTATCATGGCAAGATTTTGCGTTTCTTCTGCCTGTGGGATGACTCGGTCTCAATGCTTGGAGACCGTCGAGAACTCATCCTGCATTACTACTTGTGTGATGATACTATTGAAATCAAAGAACTGCTTCCAGACAACTCAGGCCGAGATCTTAACAAAATGTTTCTCCGGAGGAGTAAGCTACCCAAGGTGAGCAGTGGACATAACCACTTTCTGAATTTGCTTGTGGAGCAAGAGACTAGAGTCACTGTTTGGAATGTTGTGTGTTAAGAGTATGGGATGATAGTAACCATGCACTAGTGCGGGTATTCAGGAAACTTTCATTTTGTGCTCTCTATTAATATACATCTTTGAAAGTAATACAGAGAATATGATAAATTAGAGTTGGAACATTGAAGTTAAGGGAAGTAAAGGAAAGAAGTCAAATGTAAGAAAAAGTACGTCATCATCATTGAGTTCACAAAGAGTTTTATGAAACTAAATGACCCCTTAGTAAAAGAATTGCTTGTGGCTTTGGATGGGGCACTAGGGTATGATCTCTGCAGACTACTGAGGAGAACCCACGGTTTGGTCTGGGTTGTGAATACAAACACATACTATATATGTGCACCCACATGTGCATGTACACATGCACTCACAAACATGCACATGCAACTTTACAAACCAAAGCATCTCGTCTGAGTGTAGCAGCTAGTCACCAACTAGCCACTAGCTAGTGGCAATGATGACTTTTGGATTTTATTTGATATTAAAAAGAGTTGTCAGACTGATTTCTACAAATATTTATTGCCACATGAGAGCTTATGTAACTTGGGTGCAGCAGAAACAGGCCAGACCTGGATTCAAATTCTGAGTCTGCCCCTAAATAGCTGTGCTACCTTGGGCAAATCACTTAACCTCTCTGAGCTTATTTCCCCATCTTTAAAATGTGATAATATAGCACACACACAAAAATACCACCTATGGACCTGTAAACACGTATAAGAACACTTAAAAACATAAAGGTTTTTTCAAAAGCTCTATGTTATAGTTTCTTTCTTATTTGGATAAAGTATCTTTTAATTGAATTCTTAGTGCTCATGAAAAGGTTACCATAACACTAATTTCCAAGGCAAATGACTGCTGTCCATTCAGTCCTCACAGAAGGTTTTCCCAGATTCTCTGAGCTCACTGCCAGAAGCCCTACGGTGTTGCTTGGAGGCAGGAGAGGCACAATTTGTCCCAGAGGGAGCTCTGGGATACACGTAGCAGGCGACCAGGAGGTGCCAGAGAAACCTGTTTTTAGAATGGCTTTGAAAAATAAGCTAAATATAAAATAATAATGACATACCTGACATTTACAATGTGCCAATATCAGTTACTTCATTTTATTCATTCATTCAACAAATATTCTTTGAGAGCCACCTGTATGCCAGCCTTGGGGTTATAGTAAGAAAGGGAATGGATGAAGTCCTACCACACCTTGTTTCGATTTTGTCTTCCAGAATGGCCCCACTAGAGTCTATCAACCAGGCCAGATAACAGATCGAGCAGTTCTCAATTTGTATGGTAACTTAAAAAGGAACCAAGAGGATGGCTACCTGTTGGATAGATATAAGGGAAGGATCCTCGCATTTTATTACCTGTTTCTAGTGTGACTTCCCTGGAACCTGAACAGTGGGGCGAGTTACATACTCTTCTCTTATGAGATTGTGAATGAAATGGATGAATACATAAAATGTATGCTTTGTACTGCTATTTATTCATAATAAACATGTTGAAATGTATATATAAATATATGCATTGCATTGCAGTTTGTAAGTATAATACTGCAGTGCTAAAATAACACTTTAGAAATAAGCATCAACTGGTTACTTTTTTATTTGATTTTTAAAATTTAGTTATAAAAGACTGAAAAATTTTTTCATTTCCTTTTTTCTCTGGGAAGGGATATCTGGTTCTTTGGAGGGTCCATGGTGACAATGCTATGTTCCTTTGTTTTTATTAGCTAGGAAAAGTAGACCAAGAGTTTTACAAAGACTGTGACCTGTCCCTAGGAGTCACCATCAATGTGTGGGGAAGAAAAGTGCTCCTTTATGACTGTGATGAATTTACAAAGTCTTATTATAAGTCTAAATATGGAATTGGTAAGTGATGTATATGTCAATTAACTGTCTTTTAAGAATTAAACTCTTTGTGCCCTAGTTAAGATTTTACTTTGGAGTTTCAAATGCTAGGCTCATAATAGCTACCATTTATTGTACATTTGGTATCTTCCAGGCATTTGTTGTCTTCCATATTCCTAACGATTCTCTATGGGTAGATTTACTATCCCCATTTTAGAGGTGAAAAAACCTGAGGCTTAAAGGGGGCTCATTTTTCCAACATCAGGCAGTGAGGAAAGAGTGAGCCAAGATTCGAACTTGTCTGCCTGATGCCAGGGACTTCCATTTCCCTTATGGTCCTCTGCTCCACTCCAATATGGGGTAAATGTTTTGGTTGAGCAATCAAAATGGAAATCTGAATGTGTTTCTTTTCACTTAATTCTTCTTACTACAATGGATATACGTAATTGAGTTATTGAAGGAATTCTCTTATGCTAGTTTGCTCTACCTTTTCTGGTGAGGCTCAGCCAGGTTTCAACCTTCTCTCTTCTTAGATATTAAGAAGGTTTGTTCTTCTTAGATATTAATCAGGTTAGTTCAGTTCAGAATGAAAATGAGTGATTTATTAAGCACCTACTATATGTAGCTCACTGCAGTAGACTTAGGACATAGAGTTTATAAGAGGTTTCTAGGTTGGAAGGGGAACTGAGACCTGTGGCGTGTGACACCGTGTTATGTGTGTCTTGGAAACTGGTGGAGGATATGACATGAAACCTAAAACATAAACCCTCATGTGTTAAACTCCTGTCTACCTGAGGCTGCAGGTACCTGCTGCTGCTAGGAATTGATGGGACTTGCTGACCTCCCAGATTGGGACTTGGAGTTGGGATAGGGAGTGCTTAGTCCTGTACTTCTCTCTGAACCTTGGAGTATTCATAGGAACACACTTCCCTGAGGGGTGAGATGAAAGCCAAGCACAGCCACAGCTTCTTAAAAGACAAGGTGCTTTGTCTCTAGAATGAGATGAAGCCATGTTATGTGTCTTGTTGTCCCCATTGTGTAGTAGTATTCCTGGCATTCTGGGAATCTTCATATTGTGGGAGAAGGCACATGAAGCGCACAAAGGGGTTAGAATAAAAAAGGCTTTCAATTTTACTCTTAGATTCACTAAGGGAATTTGTTGCACCGCATCTGCTGGCCAGATGAGTCAAAATGTATGGGCCCTACTGGGGCCAAATTGGTGGCCTCTTTTTATTTTATTTTCTAAAATTAGTCCCCCTCAGTGGACACAGTTGGGCATATTTGCTTTGGGGACTATGGACAAGAAGCAGCCAGGAATGTGTAGGTGGCAGCTGCTATAGAGAAGCTGCTGGAGGCCCTTAGACTATGGGAGAAGAATTTGGCCTTTAATAAATGTAGACACCTGTTTGGAATCCATAAGTCTTTAGTGTAGAATAAAAATGTAAATGTAAATGTATATATCAAGGTGAGTCACCGAAAACCATAACTTACACTTGATGATTACCTTAATATAAAGGATATGGTAAATGTTCCAAAGCATTATGTGATTCCTTAGTCCAACTTTTGGTTGATGTTTGTCTGTCAGCTTGGTTTTGAGAATCTGAAAGTAGCATTTGGGAAAATGAATGTCGTACTGCTGAGACTTAGTATGTTGTCAGGATCTTAGCAGCTTCTCTAGAAAATTTTCTGATGCAGTGCGAATTCCCTGGTGTGCTCCAAATCGAGCCATCCTGGGTAAATGTATCAGCTTCAAATGTCCTATGGTCCATTTCAGTCGAGTCCTTGTGCTTAATTTCTTTCTGTTCACTTCTTTTGTTCACTCTGTGGACTAATTGTATGATGTAAAAAAAAAGTAGTCTGTGCCTTTAAAACTAATATAACATGAGCATTATGCATTTAAACAGAAAATTATGCAAATGCAAAATTATGATGCATTTCATAGTCACACTGACTTTTTATATTTCTCATAACATATGTTAAAATATCCCGTTTAACAGACACTATTATTACACAACATTTCTTGAGTTACAACAGTGCACTTAATGTAAGTAAAGACTAGAAATTATATGTATGATGAGGTGGAAGGGGGAATGAATCAGTATTCTCCGATAATCTTTGCATTTGCTCTTCCTGATTTTTTGGTAAGGTTAAATTAATATACTTAATGTTACTTAGATAGAGTTATTTCTGCCATTTTAATTTTATTTATAGTTCATCTGGTCCTAGCAATTTGTTTAGCTGACCAAATAACATGCATTATGTTTCGATATCCTTAAAACCCAAACCAGGACAAAGTCCCATCAATTATTGTGGTTCTGTTAATAATTGTGGTCACATTTCCTCCCTTGTCAATAATCGTGGTAAGTAGAAAACTTGGGTGTCTCCACTGCGCAGCATGCAGAAAGGATCTGACAAGTGCCAGCCACACAGCTAGGGGCCTTAGCAGAAAGTCAGGGGAGATTTCTAACACAGTATGCAGCCTTGCTGCTTTAGTACCTTCTCCTGTGTAATGACACCCCAACCTATTTTGGGAGAGAAAAAATGTCGGACAAAGAGAAGAAGTTGGCCACAGTCCCAAGAAAGGTACACAGATAACCTTTCTATTTATGTAGAAGTGGAGGGCTTGCTAGAATTTGAAGAGACATTTGAGCTCCTGTGTAAAACTCAATCTGTTAATATTCCTTCATACATTTAAGGATTCTAAGGAGAAGGTGATTCCATAGATTTCTTCTCTATAATGGTGCAGTGTGAGCCCCTCCATCAGGCAGTTTTGCCATCCTGCTGGCCCTGGCCTGCCTGCCGGGCTGTAGCATGTCACTCCCTCATTATTTTATGTGAATGAACACAGACTGGCAGATGGAGGTCTGATGATCTTCCCTATAGCATGAAGGTTGAAAAAGGCTCTAGGGGCTCAAGCAGGTGTTTCTTTCACTAAAAGGACAGGGATCAAATGTAAACTGTTCTTATATAGGAATTTCTGCCTTAGGTTATTATTTGTCTATCAATGGACTTTCTTATCATTTTTTCATAGTGACTGGAAATGAAACTAGTAACAAGACTGTTCATTCTCATTGCTTTTGAACACTTATTCGGCTGTACTTAGATTGAACAAAAGTCTTAAAGCATCTTTAATTTTGTGGAGTCATTTCTGGCCATCTCTGGACTTTTAGTGTTAAGAACAGCATGACATTTCAGATGAGTGTTTAGTGATTATTTGAGTGAATTGGACACTTAAAATTACACCAATAGGATAGAATTGGCTTCTGGTCTCATCACATGGCCTTGATGGACCTAACAATTTTGTTTCTTTTGCTTCCCCTATAAAATGAAGATGGTTGAAATGGGAAGATTCTTAAAGATTTTATAGCTGTAATGTGATGTGATTCATGAATTCAGGTTTCATTGAAATCATTTGACATGGGTATTGAATACAAACAGAAGTGGATTTACCTTGAAGCTACTGAAACATAATTTTTAGAGGTCTTCCTTTCCAGGGACCCCAATCCAAGGCCCTGGCCTAATTTTTTTCTTAGTAATTTGACATTCTTTGTCTAGGAGAGCTTTGCCCAAATTATTTAAGCTTCCAGCCTCCCAAAACCTGTGTTGTTCATCTCTAAGTTACTAGAATATAAGCGATGAACTTTGAGGCAATTGAAGGCTTTTCCAAATAGTCTTTCCCACTGAGATGGTGAATAGAAAATCACCATGAAGAAGCATTAAGACTCCTTTTTAATATATACCATCTCTTTGCCAATTTGTTGGAATCTAGTCAACCATGGATGGGCATTTGATACACACACACACACACACACACACACACACATGTATTTATATATATATATGTGTATATATATGTATATATACATAGACAAGTCACTTGGAATTAGAGGAATCAGATAATTAAAAGACATATACGTCTCAGGATCTAGCAGAATGCCAACTTAAGACATTTGGGAAGATGCTTTATACAAAAATGTATACTTTTTCATTTCTTCAATGAGTATTTTTAACACCTAAAACATGCAGGATGCTGGGATGATGGAAAACCAAAGTGAGGAAACTTGTCATTCAGCTGTGAGTCCAGAGCTTTGTGAATGTATGCAAATCACCCAGAGAAATGGGATTTAAAGTTGGATCTTGAGCCAGAGTTTCCAAAAAGATGTATGTGGTGGTATAAAAGTAAGGCCTGATGAAGTGGGAAAGTTCTAGGCTTTTATACACTAGATGGCACTGTGGGTGCAGAGGAAAGCTCTAAATTGGTTCTTTTGTTACTTAAATCTGTTGCAAAAATTATGTGGTTGAGAAAACAACAGTGTGTTATAAGCCCTGTAATTTTGGGGGGAAGCGTAGAATGCAGTCCTAATTACTTTGAGATTCAATATGTGCCCTCTTTTTGGGTTAGACTGCTTAGACTGTTATATAGAGTTGTATGTATGTGTCTCCTGTTGTAAGAAACTGCTCAGGCCCTGATTTTTTAATAATCACATAGAACTCTCCGGCCATGGCTATGGTGCTATTCCTGAAATGAAAGACCAAACAGTGGTGCATTAGGTGTACTGATTAGCAATGATAGGGTCTACTGCCGTTCTGCCCAATTCCAAGATTGGAACTCTCCTCTTTATTCCCAAGATTTTTCTTTAATCACCACAAAAATAGCAATAGTTGAAGCTCACAGGTCACTTGTGTACTGGCAGACTGGCTCCCCTCTTTCACTGAGTCACCTTTATAAACAAGTCTGCTGTGAACAGTTTCTGTTAGGATGGAACAGTACTCTTTTGGGGATTGTGTTTGGGGAAATTTCATACAAAGGCTGCTAGGAAGTCTAAGGAACTATGAAAGCTGAAAATGTTTTCAACAAGAGTTAGAAATGGCCTCAAGCCCTTAGCCTTTTGATCATCCATTAAAAAAACAAAACAAAAATAAAAAACCACCTTAATATTAAGAGTTAGATTGTCTTGGATGAAAAATTGGTCTATATTTTCTCTTCTAGAGGTGTGCACTATAATTTGTCCTTTTCCTCTTTGAGAACTTTGACAGTGGAAAAGGAAATATTTGCTTATGTAGAACTCCTTTCATTCATGATTGGAAACACCTATGTCATACTGAACCTTGGGGAAGAAGTAGAAAATTGACTCTGTGGGGGTTTGTTTTGTCTTAGGAAAGATCTGGCATCTTCTTTGCCATTTATGTTGGGGACAAACACAGTGACTTGGATAGATCAGGTCAATATGTTCTTTGCTCTGGAGAGCACAGTTGCTTCTCAGAGATTGTACAGCCACGCAAATGAGTACCTGGAAGCTCCTAGGCTATTTCAAATATGTTACCAGCTCTCTCTCTGCCTCTCTTTCCTCACAGATGATAAGTATATACATAAAATCAACAATATTTACCGCATACCACTCCCTTGGAGAGAGTAGGCAGTTGGCTATTTTTAAAGTTTTTTATCTTTCTGTTTTGTTTGTTTGCTTCATTGCATTTGAGTACAATTGCAGTCTTTCTTTGGGCAGTAACAAAAGCTACCTGGTGCAGTGGCTGGCGAAAAGAAAGTTTCGTTTTGGTGTTTGTTTTTGAACTACACAGGGAAGTGCTATGACCTGGAGTCGATTTGGAGGCAAGGGAGGGTACCCAAATAGAAGGTGCAGTAGGAAGAGATGGTAGATGGGGAAGCATATAGGTGAATAGTTAGGAGTAAGTCCTGTTTGGAAAAGAATTGTATTAGTGAGTGTTGACTGAGATAGGAGAGGGCTAAATTACAAGTTAAAATATGGAGTGAGCGGCATATCCTTCCAAGTTTGAATTTTCATATTATTGGAAAAAATCAGAGGAGAACAAAAATATTCAGAAATGGGAATGTGATTACAAAATATAAATGTGTACTTATTTGACATAGATTCTTTTTTTTAACTTTTAAACCAGTGGTGATTATTAAGTGTGTTCCATGGTTTTTATAAACATGATTGAAACCTACTCTCACAGGATTTTGCTGTGTTTTGTTTGAAAGAGTTTAAAATCGTCTTCAAAGATCTCCATGTTCATCTTGAAAACATAACAAACCTTTCAAAACAGACATAATCAGCGCAAAAAAAATATTGATGTTTTGTTTGCCTTTGTTTTGTTATAGAGAACTTTACCTCAGTTTCATGCAAGCCTCCTTCTCCTCCTCCAAAAATAGAAAGGAAATTTCCACCTTATAATGGTTTCGGTTCTGAAGAGGATTCTCTCCTTAACTGCATAGACCTCAAGCCCACACCTCATCAGAAGAACTTCAAGAAGTTTATGGAAAAACACAGGTGCTTAAAGGAACCATGATTTTAGTCTGATCTTTCTCAAATGTGTTTGGAGTTTATAACAGTTCTCATGACGAAACAGATACGATGTAGCTCATCTAATTGCAAGTCCAGGGAGACATTATTATAGGCTTTTAATGAGGTTGATTAACATGCACGTATTAACAGGTTCTTACTTGAGTGCTTATTTTAGTAAGTATCATCTGGAGGCCCCTAAAGTAATAATATCTCCAATCCATGTTGCCTTTCCATACCTATCTATGTCTCTTGAAGATGGCAAAGATGTAGAGTAGGAGTTAGCAAGCTTTTTCTCAAAGGGTCAGATAGGAAATATTTTTGGCTTTGTGGGCCATACGGTGTCTGTCACAACCACTTAGATCTGCCTTTGTAGCGTGAAAGCAACCACAGACAGAATGTAAATGAATGTGTGACTGTGTTCCCATAAGACGTTTTTTTATGGCCACTGACATTCAAGTTTCATATCATTTTTATATATCACAAGATATTATTCTTATTTTGATTGTTTTTAACCATTTCAAAATGTGAAAACCATTCTTATCTCAAAAGTCATATAAAAAACAGGTGGCCTGCTAGATTTGGCCCACTGACTGTGGTTTGCCAACCCCTGCTATAGAGATTTCCAGGATTTATACGTGTTTTTAAAAATGTTATTTGGTGATTAATGTTGTTGTTTTCACTTGAGAGGTTGGTTGAGTTCAGTAACCATAGATTTCTCACTTGGCTGAGTATAATTTTAAATGATGGACTTTCAGAAGTATTCCTAATAGACCTGGAGAAAAACCTGCCCATGAATCATGCATATAGAATGTAGACACTGCCCTTGGCTACTTTTTGCTTCTGCAGGGAGAGCAGACACTGGAGAAAGAAGTCAGGGGAAAAGTGGTGGGGAAAGATTGTAGATACTTGAATAGGATGTGGGCTGAGGGTTGCAGTCCTGTGTGACGGAAATGAGGGATCAGGAGATCCTGGGGAGGAACAGTGATAAAGGGAACATGTGGTAAGACTAGGAGAAGGAGGAGAAAAAGACATCCTGAATTTCATACAATTGATTGGGGTCAGGGCTGTTGTAGAACATTTGAAGGAGAGAGAACAATAGTTGTGTTACATCTGTAAAAGTGGTAAAAACTGATAAAGAATTGTACAGAATGTCAGTCTGCCTTTGCTATAACATGATATCCTTGGTCTTTCTAGAAATAATCTTTTATTTTTTAACGACTTTAGGGTTCCATTTTTAAGTTTTAGATTTGGTGCTTCTCAGGAATGGTCCCTGTAGGTTTTAGAAATGCTAATTATTGTGCCTACCCCCCACCCCCGCCCCCCGCCCCCTTACCGACTGCGACAGAAGCTCTGGGGAAGGGGCCCAACGGTCTGTTTTTTCTCAAGCCTTCCAGGGGATTCTGAGTCACACCAGTGTTTGAGAACCACTGATTTCTAGCACATAAGAGGGTCACCAACTTATACTCTGTCCTCCCTTATTGAGAACAGTGTTTAGGTGAGGTTCCAGGGTAGGACTCTTGATGGCTAACTGCTGTTTTTAAGGACAACCACTCAAAGGAGGTGGGCAGGAAGAATGTCCCTATTGTAAAAGGAGAAGGAATTTTTCTTATAAGTAAACAAGATGAAATATTATCCAGGGTGTTGCTTCTGCAACCCAGGGGAAAACCATTCTTTGTGAGTAGTTGACTTAGTCCCTCATTCTGTCTACACTGTGTAAACTTGCCCACAGAACACTGACTCTAGATGGTATTCCATGTTCCTGTCATGTTGTCATGGCTGGAGGATGGTGGTATAGGCACAAATGTCTCTCATTTTGTTCTTTCTGTCCACTGCTCGATCTGTGCCAGGAATATACTTTCCTCAAGCTCCTCTCACACAGGGACTGTGTTTCCATAGTAACTAGCACATTCAGCTAGAGACTTATACATGAGTTTGAATAACCCAAGGTTTTAAAACTGTAAGAACATAAAGAAGACGATTTCACAAAGCATACAAAAAATAGTTTTTTAAAAAATACAAATAAACTGTGAATTCAGACATGAAATTGTACGTGACATGTTGATTATATATATTGCCATTAAGATGTACTTGGTGCTATTGTTGTTGTGAGGTTAATGCTGGTATATGAATCATTGGAGGGAATAGTTTCAGATTAAAGCATATGAGCTTTGATGGATATAAAGATCTTTATTATCTGGGTAGATATTACTGTGGTAGCCTAGTGGTTAGATTGTCTAGTCTGAGGAGGGAGAAACAGGATAATATCTTTCTTTCTGCACCAGGCTGAATTTGTTACTCTGTTCTTTGTGTGCCCACAGTACTCTGTTGATTATATCTCTAATAATCCAGTTACAATACTTAATCTAATTTAATCCAAAACCTTGGAATATAGATAATATTATCACACCCATTTCTCACATGAGGAAACTGAGGCTCAGAGAGGCCATACAACTTCCTCAAGGTCACACAGGTAATTTTTAGTTGAACTAGGAATTGAACCCAGGGAAATCTGACTTCTGGAACTCACCTGTCTTTCAACAGAACCTGTACATATCACAGTGCATGTTAATGACTTGTTTATGTAATTTGTAGGCTCCTCTGAGACCAAGGGCTCCTTGAAGGCAGGGGCCAGCTTTATGGCTTCCATAAGAGTTAGTGCTGGCTATACATTTGGGGATCAATAGTTTGTCTAAGAAGAGAAGGAATGGATTAATAAGTGAGCAAATAGAATAAATATTCACTCATCCAGTTCTTAATCATGGATAGAAGAGACAGATGACTTCTCACCAGGAAGGTTATTATCCCAGACTTGTGCCAGTCATAATCGTATAGCATCCAAAAACTAGTGGTTTAATCTTCATCTCTGTCTTGTTATAGATATTGTCCATCTGCTGTCCCTACCAGTCATTTTTCCCGCTTTTAAAAATGTTTCCCCATTAATAAAAATAAGTCTTCATGTGCCTTTTGACCATAAAACTCTATAGCTCTATAGCTATTTGAGGTTTTTAGTAGGTGTAGAGCCCTGGATAAGCCATTAATGAATGAACAACTATTTCTTGAGTCCCTGCTGTGTGTCAAGCAGTGTTCTGGGTGTTTGGGATGCATCAGTGAGCAAAACAGACACCAAGGCCTGCCATCATGGAACTTATATTCTAGTTGTGGGAGATGGACCATCAGTGATAAAGATAATACATAAGTAAATTATGAAGTATTTACAAGATGTTAAGTACCATGAAAAAAATAAAGAAGGTATTAAGTTGCTGTGAAAAGAGTAAAGGCAGATTGGGAGTGTGGGGCTGGGGAACATTCCTTGTTGCCGTTTTAAATAGTGTGGTTGTGATGGACTTTACTGAGGAGAGGAAATGTGCTTCAGACGAAGGGAACAGTTGGTGTAAAGGCCGTGAGCAAGAAGTGTGCTTGGGATGTGCAAGAAACATCCAGGAGGCCGACGTGGATGGAGTTGATGAGTAAACAGCAGAGCACATGGAGAGGAGATGAGAGTGTATGGGGGATTGGGTCATGCAGGGCTTTACAGACTGTTTAAAGGCGCTTTTGACTTTGAGTGATAAGGGGGCCATTGGGAAATTTGAGCAGAGAAGTGACTTAAGCTGATCTTCTTCTTAGAAGAATGACTCCAGTATAGTGTTGAGAGTAAACTATAGATGGCAATGGGTGGAAGTTAAGACCAGGTAAGAAGCTACTGCAGTAGTCCAAGAGAAAAGTTATGGTGGCTCAGATCTGGGTGAATGCAGTGGATGTGATGAAATCTGATAGTGGATCCTGGAAATATTTTGACATTAGGGCCAGTGGGATTCCCTCACAAATTGGATATGAAGTATGAAAGAAGCAAGTTAAGATGATTCTCAAAATTTTGGCCTGAGCAGCTGGAAGGGTAGAGTTGCCATCCACTGAGATGAGAAAGATTGTAGATAGGGTAGGTTTAGGGATAAGAGTAGAGTTCAGTTTTAGAACCAGTTAAGTTTGGGATGTCTATTAGATAATCAAGTGATGATACCAAGTAGGCAGTTGGATATATTTGGGAATATACGGTTCAGAAGACAGGTGAACGTGGATCCATCAGCATGTAGATGGTATTTAAATCCATGATACCAAATTGTGTTAAAGCCTTGAGATTGGATGAGATCACCAAGGGAGTGAATATACATAGAGCGGAGCATGACCAAGGAATAAACTGTAACATCTCCAATTAGGAGCTTGGGGGAAAAAAGGAGGAACCAGCAAAGGAGACTAAAAAGGAGCAAACAAGAAGGTAGGAGTAAAACCAAGAGAATGCTGGATCCTGGAAGCCAAGTGAAGCAAGAGTATCACCGAAGGAACCATCATTTGTGCCAGTTGCTGCTGATTGGTCAAGTGAGATGGGCACAAAAAATTAAGCATTGGAATTGGCATTGTGGAGATCATTGTTGACTTCTATAAGAGCAAACCTAATGGAAGTAGGTTCAAGAGAAAATGGGAGAAGAATTTCAGGCAATGATTGTAGATAACTCTGGGCTGTATGTAGAAAAAGTTAAGACATGGCTCATGGACCTAGGAATTTATAATTTGTTTGGGAACATTGGGAATAAACACATTTTAAAAACAACCATCCAGAGTACAAGTCTATATAGTGCTAAATTTGATGTGACATTACAATTGATGCAGGAGGTGTAAGTAGGTGGTCAGCTGGAGTATTGTGATAAAAAAGAATATTCCGAGAAGTTTGAGAAGTAGCTACTAGGGAAACATCTGAAGACCCTTGCAGAGCTTCTCAAAGTATGCCCAGGGGACCACCTTATCAGAATCTTCTGGGGTTCTTCTTAATAATGCAGGTTTCTGGAAATGTGAGCTAACTACTGAATCCCCCTGTATCTTTGGGGATAGGACTCTGGATTCTGCATATTTAACAAGCTCCCCAGGTTACTTCTATATACAATATACTTTGTTAACTGCTAGTCTTAAGATTTTATTGCGTAGATTATATTCTTGATTAATGAGATTTCCAGAACACTAGATTTAGGTGAAAAAAAGGCATGATGAATGTGTGAAAAACCTACACTTAACATATACATTTATAAATGTATGTAGGTTATAAGAAGTTAAATTTACAGTAATATTTCTCTGCCTGAAGTTAGACCTTCCTCAGTTGTTGCAGTGGTATTTTGGCTATCTGAAAAGTTATGGTTTTGTGTGTGTGAGACAGGGGCTATCAAATCTATTTGTTACTTATAAATCCAATTATGTACCAGAGAAGATGGTTGGCAAGGCATAGCTTCCTCCCACGCTATATGAGGTCTGTCTGAAGCCGGGGAACTGGATGTCGAGAAAACAGAGCCACTGAGACCTGGCTGCTTTGCTCAGGCTGTTCTGAGACGAGTCTTCCAAACTGCTGCACACCGTCTCACATGGGTCCTCAAGCCTAGGAATCTTGGTGCCATCCTTTTTCAGCTCTGATTCTTGTCCAGTCTGAGAAAGGGGCAGAGAAAAGCACTTTTTGCCTCTGCAAATCAGAAATACTTGGTTTATTTTTTAATCACTGTGAACACAAGGAAAGAATGATTTTCAGCATAGGAGACCCTGCAAGGGAAGGCTTTTCTGCTTAGAGTTGTGACAGAGGACATGGTTTATTCTCCTGTGTACTTCCTTGGGGTAATGATTTTAATTATCAAAGACCTCTCTAAGGGTTTATTGTTTGTTACAAAGTCCACTTTTCACTAGCTGATATCTGCAAACATGCTTCTGCTAACAGATTATAAATCAATTTCTTTAGTGACCAGGCAATCGGCTTTGGTAACTTTTAATTCTATAATTTGATCCTATCTTTAGCCTACTAGACTATTCTATTAATGCATAGAATTATGAATGCAAATACCAATAGATACAGATATCATAACAATTCTCCATGAACATTTATTGAATACTTATAATGTAAAAAGTGTTATATTAGATAATGGTTAATAAGACAGTCTTTGGCCTTGGAAAACAGACTTGTAATGGCTTACAATACGAGTGATAAACACTATTAAAAAAAAAAAGGTGGGTCTGTCATAGGTGTTATAGCATTTGAAAAGGAAAAGTTAATTTTTCCCTTGAAGGAAGTTGGGGGGGGTGCTGGGGAGCTGGAGGAGTGAGTCAGAGAGGGGAGGATGTAGGCTGGAAAACAGAAAAGTGGAAGGGCATGAGACAGTGAGTGGTGAATGGGAACGATGGCCCCAGATGCCGGCAGAACCCAGGATTGCCCAGGCAGCGGGCTAGGTGCTTGCTCTTCTTTCCAACATGATTATTGTGATTGGTGACTAGCTTCGTCATTGGAGAACAACCAGTTCGTGCAGCTGGTTTGAGCAGTGTGTTTACGAGGTTTGTTTTGGGTTCATTTTCCCAATGTGTTACCCAGGACATGTAAAGAATCAGAGATATTTTAATATCTCTGAGACAATTCCTCTGCATTTAGATTTAGAACCTTCATTAGAAAATGGTTGAATTCTTTCACTTTGGACAGTTTATGCCTACTATATTAAAGCCACATTATATCTTTTGCAGACTTTTAAAAACATAATACGTGGAAGATTTCCTGTATAACTCTGTAACTCTCATTTCTCTTCCATTTAGCTATGGCTCAGAAAACAGTATACTCCGGTTTTTGGCAAAACTAGACACAGAAAAATACGCTGACTTGGACAGGATATTTGTTATTTCATATTATCTCGCTGATGGCACCATTTCAGTGTTCGAACCTACAGAGAATAATTCAGGTAAGAGATATAGTTCTCATAGTATTTTCTTGAGAACATTTGTTTCTTCATGTTGAAAATTAGGGAACATGATCTGATTTTGTAGCCTAGATTATGTACAATAGAGGCTTAAAAAAAAACCCTGAACAATAGAATGGTGTTTTTTTGTTTTTTACGAATCTCTTAAATGGGAACCTAAACATTTAAAATGATAGAGGTGGAACAGTTTTGATTGGCTTTGGGCTGGGGTACCTGGAGTTACCTCCTTTTTGCCACTATCCCCACTTCCTCTTTGGCCTCTGAAGCACCTCTATGGAACCTGATGGCTTCAAAATCACGGTCTAGGTACCACTGGTTCTACTCGCAGCCAGCAAGCCAAGAGGAAGTCTGTATTCTTGATAGTCCTACTTACAAAATTTTTGTTTGGCTGTGAGACAAGAATCCCAGATACACAAATTCAATCTTCAGGGTCCATCTTTATCTGGCCCTTCTGTCTGTTGAGGTTGTTGCCAAGGTTCCAGCACTCAGGCCCACAGAATGCCTCTCTGGATTATGCTGGTACCACAGCCATCGCTGAGGAGAGCCATTGACTTACCTAATCATGGCACTGTAGGATCCTGTTCTTTGTCTCCACATGTTTAAAACTTTTATCTATGCTGAAGACATACATTTGGGCAGAATAATCAGTGATGTGCTGGTTAACTGATCTTTGAAAATATTTTAAAAGCCCTGATTTATACTGTTTGCCAGTTTCCATGGTGTGAATACCCCAACCATGGCCAATTTCAAGCAGCCAAGAGTTTAAAAACTGGCTTGCAAAATCCCTGAAAATTCAACTGTCAGCTCCTTTGAGCTTATACTAGTAAGCTACTTAGCACACCAGTGAGTAATGAATAACTTGTATAACTAAGGCTCTACGGTGATTTCAATAATGGATCAAATCTTAAAATATGAAATTGCATAGGAATGAATATAAGTCATGCTCTTGTAGGTCAAAAATCAACTCTAATACATTTAGAATGGGGAAGATGTGGCCAAACAAGTTGTACCATGTGTGAAACAGAAGGGAAAAAAGATTTAAGGGGACTCCCGTAGTTATCTTTAAAAACTTGAGTAATCTCCCTTACAGAAGTAGGACATTTGCTACTTAATCTGCATATCAGATTAAGTATAAGACATCATCTGGGACAAATACGTGGAAATAAGCACAAGTGAGGAATTTTCTAACTGCTACTATTAAACACGCTCTAAAGATGAGTATCTTCCTGATGTTCCACTCTCCCATTATGCTGCTGGGCATATATAGGAGGTCTTTGCCAAGTGTTTATTGGACTGGGAAGAGAGTAGAGAGAGAGAAGAAAAGGCCAGAATTCCATGCCATTTTTTCTTTTTTCTTTTTTTTTTTTTTGAGATGGAATCTCGGTATGTTGCTCAGGCTGGTCTTGAACTCCTAGCCTCAAGCGATCCTCCTGCCTCAGCCTCTTGAGTTGCTGGTACTGCAGGTTTATTACCCTGCCCAGCTTTGCTTTTTGTCTTGAACACTCTCACCTAGGAAGTCTTATTTCTTTGCTCACTCCCTCATTCCACCCTTATGTCCGAAAATAACAGGCAATATGAGTTCACAGGTAACTTACGTGGTGGTCTGTGCTTGAAGATAAAGTAATTCTGAAGTCAAGTCAGATGCTTCTTTCAAGAGTAAAGACTGCTCATGAACTTTTCTATTTTTCTATAGGACTTACTGGTGGAATGTTCTTGAAAAGAAGTCGCGTTAAGAAGCCTGGACAACGAGTCTTTAAAAGAGAACTGCCTGAATATTTAAAGGCCGAGGAGTTCTACATTGGAATCACAGTGAATGTGAATGGTTACCTGTTTCGTTTGCTCAATGCTGATGAGTATACGTTAAAATACATGGAGCAGAATGTAGATAAGGTGAATTTACTTTGTATAATTCTTGACTTGCCTCTCAGCCCTCTGCAGTCTGTGTTTTTCTTTCTCTAGGGCCTTTTTCTTCTTCATCTTGCCACCAGTTTTACATTGTGCATTCACACATGTGGGCATGAATAATGGATCCGTGTGACTTGGCCACACGTCCCATCACAGAGGCCAGGTCCTTGTCTACTCTGTTTACATGCTGGGTTCTCCTCTGCCCAGCATCACAGATTCCAGGCACAGGCAGGAGGCAGGGCCAGGGTTGAATCAAGTTTCCTGGGTTTTCTGCTGACACTAACAATGTTTTCAGAAAGAAATTCAACAACTATAGGAAAGGAAGAAAATCTGGTGCCACACACTGTGCTGTCCCAGTTAATTGGCACAGGCCAACAGAGAAGGCCAAGACCTGAACAAATAGAAATCTCAAGGGAACTGAATAGTTGCTGGAGTTGCACCTTCCCATAGCAGTAGCCACCTGAGGCCTAAATAAAGATTTAAGGATAAATTGGCAACAGTGAGCTCAAATAGTGGTTTTTTTTAAAATAAGATGGCAGATGGGTACTGTTACTGCAATTGCTATTAAGGAAATGTTGTTCAGGAAAAATAACATATTGATAAAATCTTGATTTTACATGTGGACTAGTTCAGCGTGCAAACATATATATTTGGGAAGCTTTGCCTAATATCAAAACATCTATCTGGAAAATTTTATTTTAAAAGTTTTCCTTTAAGTGATAATATTTATGTACCATTTATATATATACAGTGCCAATTTTGTCTCCTTTGTAGATAAAATACCCAGGGTTAAGTTGCTAAAATCAATGTCTCTGTGTATGTCACATCATTCATATCAGTTTGGGTCCTCTGAGAAGCAGATGCTAAAGCAGAATGAGAAGTGTAATAGATGTCGTGGAGGAAGTTTCTAAGGAGGATAAAGGGGAAGGGACCAGGAGAGGGCAGGAGGGACCTTCAGACCGGGAGGCAGGTTGAACCCCTGTGGAAGGAGAGAGAAAGGAAGGAGGGGTGTGTAGGGAGAGCCTCAGCCGACAGTGCAGCTCTGGGAAAGTCTCAATCAGGCTGATGGGGAGCCCCAGAGCACAGACTGCCTATCAGAGAGGTCCCCTGTCAGGCAGGAATGGCCTGGCTCTAGTCCCCCTGCTGTGCTTTGTGTCATTGGGCAGGAACAGCCTGGGGAGAGGGTGGCCCCAGCAGTGACATTGCCTGTGAACTCTGTGTGAATCTGGAAGGTATGGCAGCTGGAGTCTGTCAGCCAACAGTGCTCTTCTCTCAGGATCTCTCTTGACAGGCGGCCTGAGAAGTGCCCTCTATGGCTGCCACACCATCTCTTCATTTGTAGTCTTAGGGATTCAGGTTATCATAAAACTATGAACCAGTAGCTATATGCAAACACTGAATCTAGACGAAAAACTCAGTCATTGAGAGTTTAGATTTCTGGAGACCATCAGGCATGGCTTGGGAACCTGACTCCACATTAATAGCTGAGGGACCTTACATATGTATTTTTCCTGAGCTTCAGTTTCTTCATCTTTGGAACTGGAGGAAGAGCAGTGCCTATTTTGTAGAATTGCTGCGAAGATTAGATGTGATAATATGTATGAAGTGCTGAACTAACCATGAGGCCCATGGTAAGTTCAATCAGTACTGCTATTGTAAATCAGAGTTCTTTTTCCAAACAGAGGGTGAACCTATACCTTAATATAAAATATATATGTAGCATAAATATAAGATATAAAGGGTTTTTTTTTGTTTTTTTTTTTTTTTGTTTTTTTAACCTTTGGGGACAATAAAAGCAGGGTAGGACGTTATCTGGTGTCAGTATCCCAAGTGAAAACTGTATTATTTTAAAACTACCCTTAACAAAGACATTCTAAGCAGAGAAAGATTGCTATACTATTTAATATCAGCCCGAGGAATCTTTTCAAAAGAGCTAATAGATCCTGTCATGGAAATAGATAAAAGGAAATGAAAAAACGTGAGAGGGGTAGGGATCTGTGATAGGTGCCAAACCACCTGGATCATTCTCTGGTGGGAGAGAAGGATCTTTATACTAAATTGCTGTCAATCTTTTTAATTTAAAATTTCCTCTACTCATTTTTTATCTCTTAGGTATAATTATTTACGACCTTATGTTTAACTGGTTGCAAGATGTATTCTTACCAAGTCAAAAAGCTAGTTACAGGGTCGGAGACAGGAACACTGGACGGCCCAGAGAATGAATGTGCGAGAGCTCCGGTGCCTGCATGGATCTTTGATATTCAGTCTTGCTCTCATCAGTGCATTGCCTAATGAACAACAGTTCTGGGGGGTGGGGCCCATTCTAAATATCTAGAGAAAATAGAGGTGTACTTTTCCAGTTTTGAATCCCCATTTTTTCCATTAGGATCTCCCAACATATTGTGGCAATATCCAAGGGTTATAGGGAGGAGGCTGAGATAGAAGCAGGGGTTGTTTTCTGATCTCTGTGGCCTGCTGTTCCTTAAGCTCATTTCTCTCAGAGCTGGGGCCTGTGCTGATGTGAACTGGAATTCAGAAGCTTTAACTGAAGAGATACAAAGCTAGTATGCTTTCTCAGTGTTGGAATCTTTGCAAAGACAAACCCGCTAACTTCATGTCCACAGTGTGAAGTCCCTTTGCTGGCCATCAGAAAGATCGGGCTCCTGAAGTGTTAGGAATATTAAAATATGTTTTTCCTTTCATTTCCCCCTCACAGTATCCTTTCAGTGACTTAGAACGTAGCCTGCAAAAGGTGAAGCAAGAAGAATCAAGATCCAGAGAGCTCAAGCAGGTATTTAGAGCTGCTGACTGTAAGCACACAAAGATGGTGGATTATAATACATTCAGGTAAGCCATATTCTGCTAATAATCTGTTTTCCCCTCAAGATTGTCCAAAGAACAGAAATAATTATTTCTTTCCTAATTAGTTAACTATTTTCTATTGGGAATTGGCATTTCTTTGAGTTTGTATTACTCTGTGGTCAAGTTTTGGCCACTAATACTCTAGTAAATGTTATGAATTTATGTATAAAAGGGGTTTGTATGTGGGAACAGAGGGGCAAAAGCATAGAAAGTCAGCTGGTCACATTGTCTTATGAGTCATAGGGTTGAAGGATCAGCAGAATGCCGGGAATGGTGCAACTGAGTGAGAAAGACAAAAAAACGCAGCTTAAGAGCACCTCCTTTCACCTAAATCTGGGGGACAAAGGAGGGACATCTCCAGGAATGTGATGAAGTTGGAAAATAGTAAAAATGTTACCGATTATTAGAGCAAAGGTGATATGTATGCATCTGTGTGTACTTGTGGTTGCACATGTGTAGTCTGAAAGACATGAAAATATAGGAACTGAGGGAAAAATACATGACCGTAGTTAGAAATATTATAACAAATCATGATCAAGATTTTCTCTAGGGTGAAGCTGAAGTCTGGGACTATCCAGTGGCTGACCTAGGCAAATTTCCAAACAGCAGAAACACAGGGAAATTTAAATCCAGGGTCTCGTACAATTGTGAGACTTCTAAGCCTGAAAACAAAGTGAATGGAGCGTTTAGGAGAGTAAATTAAATCATGGTTGGAGGACAAAGGGCACTTTCTCTTTAGGCTGAGAATTCTGGCTCCTGACAACGATAGTGGCTGAAAGCTATATAGTAAACTCCACTTGATGCAGTCAAGATGTGGGCTGAGAAATGAGGAAGTGAGCCCAGGAGAGGGTAGCAGGGAGGTCTTTCCAACTTTGTGTCTGCAGTTGCCTCTTGCATCACTACCTGGTGGCCCAGAGCCCACCATTAGGTCCAGAGTGTCCCAAGAGCTCATTTGTTGTTTTAACAAAGCTCTTTTGTGTCTCCAAAATGTTCTTTTGAGAGAAGCAGTCAGAGGACATATTTTTATTGTTTAGAATTCCCAACCTTCTGGGATCAATAAGAATTTATAGTTCTTTGTTATTGTTCATAGTCACATACACATGTTCATAGTGTTTTGGAAAATAAATGGAGACAGTAAAGAGTAGAGACAATTACTCAGGCCATGGGCTAATGGAAAGCAGTGGAGGAGAAAACAAGAAATTTCCATCAGAAATGAGGGAGTGGTTTCGTTTTATTATTTGTGTCCTTTTACAAAAGCATCCATTTTCCCAACACTCGCAAAGTCTATTGGAAACACTTCAGTGAGTTTATAGGGCTTTTTGGGAAGCACTTAGGCCAGGCAGGCAATCCAAGGAGGAAAAGTTGCTTTGCAGATGGTGGCCTGACCCTAATTCTGGGTGGGATAAAGGACCACCATACTGTGATTGGAGGGGTGGCCTCAAGAAACTGCATGCTAAAAAAAAAAGGAGCTCCTGGTCCCAGAAATTCCTTAAAATGAAAGTCAGATCAGATTACGCCTGGCTTGGAAAATCCTTCAGTGGCTTGCCATTGTCCTCACAATAAGATTCAAACATGCGACTGCAGCCAGCAAGGCCTTGAGTGATGTGAGTCTGTTTGTATTTCCAGTGTCACCACCTTTTTCTCCAGTTCTGTCTTTTGGCCTCACTGACTGTCTTTCAGTTTCTCAAACACATCAAGCTCTTTCCTGCCTCTGAGCATATGCACACCCAGTTCCCTCTGCCTGGAATGCCCTCACCAGTTTGTCCTCTGCATGGCAAATTCTGGGACTGATTTCAAATGTCACCTCCCAGAGGGGCTTTCATTCACTCACGATCCTATGTAAAGTAGATCATCTGCTGTTATTCTTAGCCATTTGTTGATATTTTTCACAGCACTTAGCACAACTTGCATTGATTTCATTTAGAGATCTGTTTAGTTGGGAGTGAGGTGTCTATGTGTGTGTGCTTGTGTGTGTCTTCTATTTGAATATGAGCTTTCTGAGGGCAGGGAGCTCAATGATCTTGTTCCCTGCGGCATCCCCTACTGCTGGGGTCAATACATATGTATATAGTTACCAAATGAAATAATGAACCACTGGAGTTGTTCTTGGGGGTTCTAGTTTGGAGGTGATGGCATCTCCTCCAAATGAGAGTGTAGACCAAGAGTCTAGATGTCGTGATTTATATGACATGCTTGGTGCCGGGTGATGAGCCCTCTGTCTTTGGAACTCCTCATTTGTGCTTGGCTCACAGGTGTGGGTCCCTGCACATTGTCTTTAGCCCTCTCTTTTGCTTCTCAAACTCTTTCCTGAGCAAAGAAAAAGGAACTACGTAGCCCGTGTCTATGACATCATATCGTAATTCAATTCTTTGCTCAGTGCTTTTACTAGCTAATATTTTCCTTCCTTTATGTATGTGTGTAAGTGTGTGTGTGTGTGTGTGTGTGTGTGTTTGTGTATGTATTCTGGCTCTCCTCACCAGAGTGTAACCTCGTTCAGGGCAGGGACCTTCTCTTTCTTGTTTTTTGCTTTAGTCTTATGACTTAGCACAATGTCTGGCAAACAGTAGTGTTACTAAATACTAGTTGAATGGATACATTTTATCTAGCCATTACTGCTTTGGCTTTGACCTGCAGGCTGATTGTCTCCATGCTAGTTCCTCAAGCCCAGACCTTTCTCCTGAACTATAAACCTGGAAATATGAATACCTCTGGGACATATCCCCCTTGCATGTCTTTTAGGCATCCCAAAAATAACTTTCCCTAACTTGACCTCATTTTCATCTCTCATAAAGTTGCAGTTAGGGGACTGTATCCTGATAAAGGCCATCATGGGCATCCCCAAGAGCCCAGACCAGGGATTGGCTTTGTGTCTCCCCTCTCTCCTCTCACAACCTCTCCCACTCACCCTTTGAAATTGTACATCTTGAACTACCTCTAGAAACTTTCCCTTCTTTCCATCCCCAGCTTCATGGTTGCAGTTCAGCTTTTCATCACTATTTACTTGGACCATCTGGAAAGCAGTATAACTGATCTCTTTTTCTTAACTCTCATCTTCCAAAGTTTTGCCAGAGTAACCTTCCTAAACTCTGATCAGATCATTCCTCTGCTCTTAACCCTGCATCAGTGTATCATGTGAGTTTGCCTACCTCTCCATATTTCCATCTCACTCGAAGAATACTTTTGTAGAAGCCACTATTTATTGAGCACTTACTGGGGGCCAAGCATTGTGCTAAACGCTTTACACCTGCTATCCACTGGTAGCCTCCTGTCGAGTTGTTACTTGTTTGCTTCCCTGCCTCCACATCAGCTCCTGCCAAGTGCAATAGATGTTTGCTGAATAATTTAATGAACGATCCTATTTCTAAAGGAATGTTCAGTCTAAAGCTTACATCAATCAAGTAAATAATTGATTACCTTGTACCAGGGAAGGGCCATCTGGCTCTCACTTAGGGAAGTAAAGAGAAGCTAGGCCTGATCCTCACTAGCCAAGTGACTTGGGCAACTCATTTCACCTACCTGCATCTCACTCTTTTGTTCATATATTGGTCTCTGAGGTCCGTTCTAGGCTCTGACAACTGGAAACTCTGAAAATGTAAGTTTATAATATTCTTGTAAAATATTCTGTTTTCAAATTGGTGCATTGAGATGGCAGAGAACAACAGAGGCAGGCAAAGGCAGGATTGCAGCATAGGCCTATGGACTTGGCCCCTGTGGCCCTGAGTCTCTCCTGCTTAGAAACCTGGCACTCTCATCGTGTATCTGGGGCTTCAGGGCCCAGATCTGCTGGTCTGGGCAGTGGTCCAAGCCCCCGGCATTGCCCTTCTTCTCAGAGATGTGCATCTCCTCTCAGGAAAACCTTGAGAATAGGAGCTAATAAACTACCTCTGCATAAGGTACCATGGTTCATAATGGACTCATGTGTGGACCTCCCAGAGATATTTGCCTCAGAATACACCTGATGGAATGCAGGAACAGGCAGCCATCAGCAAACGGAAGTAGGGAATTTTTTAAAATGTTTTATTTGGGTAGGGAACATTTCTCTTTTTCCTTGTGGGAGTTCACTTCTGCTTCTGTTTCATTGATCCTCTCTAGAATCTTTTTGGTGTGGTCTGTCAGATTTGCCTATGAGAGCTGCTGATTGTTATCCAAGAGAGTGCAGAGAACCTTTCTCAGAGCCTTGGGATAGATATCTGGTGGCAGTGGTGGGCAGATTTCAACAGGGAGCAGGACAGGGACTAAGCTTGGCAGGCCTAGTATTTCAGGTAGTTGGGAACATGGGTAGGGTGGGACTTCCCAGTGAGAGCCCTGGACTCTGAACCACAAGCAGCAGCAGCAGCAGCAGCAGCACTGAGAGCCCAATGCCAAGGAAGATGTGGTCAGCTCATCTCTCTGGCCACCTCCCCGAGCATTAATCTACCCATCAGAGACGACACCTGGCCCCATGTAGCCAGTGTGTATTTTGGTTAGCTGTGTGCTTATCTCTTTTCCCCACCTGGGGAAGCTGTCAGAGGGCAGGGCCCATGCCTGGTTCACTCTTGTGGCTTTTCCAGATACCTCCAGAACCCAGTGTATCAGGCCTCAATGAACATAGTGAATTATTACAGGGTTCTTCTTCAGGCCCCCATTATCAATTACAGGGTCAGTAGCTTTCCTGTGAACATCATGTAATAAATTCCTTCTAAGATTTAGAACCTTGAGGAAATTTTCTCTCTTGCAAAACTAAAGTTCTTTCTAAAAGAGGTAATATAACAGAAATAGTTCTCATCACTGGTTTTGGAGTTGGCAAACCCAGATCCAGCTCTTGCCTCTCTTGTTTCCCAGCTTCTTGGCCTTGGGGAGGCTGCTGAATAATTTTTTCCTCTGTAAAATGGGGACAATAATACATAGGACACAGCCGTTGTGATGAATACTTTTGATACTGGTATGTAAAATTCTTATTGTAGCTGATTAGTGCATGGTGCATACTCAGAAAGTGAAAATGCTTT